TGTGGTGGCTGTCTGTCTGTGTCTAACTGCCACGAACCTACCCAAAAGCGTTTAACCTTTTCATTTCTGCTTTTATTGCCATGGATAGACGTTTAACATGAGCAGTTAACCTATGTTTATAAGCTTGTTCTTTTTTCCTCCGTTGCTTGAGCAATAAAGAAGAAAATCTGTCATTTCGTACATGAATTGTCTTAATGGGACAACATGGGTCAAAACAAGATTTATGTAGTCTGTGAGGTGCTCACATTGCTCTGACAAGACATCCTTTTCGAAAATTTAACAATCAAAGCGTTGATTTAGGTTTTTCGATGTTATCTTTTGAGCTGTTCCGTCGTTTAACAGTTCTGGACAGTATTTTGGTCAGCGGTGTAAGGGACAAATCGCTTTTAAATGAGTAAACACGTTTCCACCAGATTCTACAATGAACAAAACCGGAACTGGAATAGCGGTACTATTGGCAGTCAATTAAAAACAACAAATATACAATACCTCAGTAATCTGTGCTTCCGGCACTGATGCTTCAACAACGGTAACAATCAAAAATAGCCAAGTATGGCTTCAAGTTACACATGGTGATCAACTCGTCTGAATAAATTATGGCTTAAAATTGGGCTAACAGGACCAATCAGAAAGGGGAGGCTTTCATGAGCCTGCGTTATCGAATCCGTACATTGCATACAGTGATGTGATTGTTTGTCAAATATACGTAAGGGGGACAAACAGTAGGCCTACCAAACCAAATGGTTTCTGTGTGACCTTCATTCACCACAACATTACGATATTGTCAGGTCGCTTGCGGCGAACAGTGTTGAGCACAGTGGACATATTGAAACATTAGTGCACCAATAACACACCGGGCGTCTCTGTGAAACGATGGTGCTTTGTTCCGAAGTTGGAAAGTAGCTCAGACGTTCTCGTATGTTGGTCATACACATCCTCAAAGTGCAAAATAAACGTAAGTAATCCCTCGGTAATCTATCGTGTGGCCCGCATGTGTCTACCGATTGTCATGGACGCACCCTAAATTGCTGCACATTGCGCGCCCAGAGAAAATCCCGAGGAATTCTAACGGCAGTCCGGCGATCCAATCGAATCTCACACGATGCACTACGCACACAAGTGCGACGTCTGAGTACCGCAACATGCACAGCACTTCATCCGATGAGCCGTAGACTAGGGATACTTGAACGATCGAAACATTCTAGTCAATGTTTGAGGACAGAACGTTTCGCGGAAAACTGGATGCCTGTGGGCTCTGTACTGACAGAGGTTTAGCCGTAGCAATGAAGTTACCGTTACCTACAGTGTCTACTGTGGTAAAAAAAATGGGCCTCTCGTTTGCGGACGAACGTACACGTGGTGCACAACTACTGCCATCTCATCGCAGATATGTTCCAATTAAAGTAGACAGACTGACGTACACGTGATAAATAAGTTCTCCATGTGCCCGTATTTGTATCAAAGGTAAGGTTAAAACACAGTTACAGTGGGCACGCCGGTAGACTGAAAACTAGCTTCCAAAGATGCACTGTGGGAAAAGCACCACTTTCAACTAGACCTTTCATATTAGGAATAACAACGACTTGGTAGTATTTTACTTTCCTGTTAATTGAGCCAAGTTCTATCTGGATTTTTTCTTTCCTAAATAACCTGCGATAGTTAAATATTACCCGGTTGTTTCAGTCGTCTAGTGCAGTTTATAAATCATGATCCGGGCACCAAGTACTGTAAATGCAGTTGCCACGAATCGCGTCGCCAGAGTAGCAAAAATGAAGCATGATTAGTAAATGCGGTTAGACTTCAATATGGTATTAACAGAATGGAAGCAAGAACGAGGTGCATGAAGCTAATCAAATTGAAGTATGAACAGCTACACGTAAGAGATCGAATCCAGGGGCAGCACTAACTCCCACAATGCGCCAGGTCGGACTAGAACGAGGCCACCATTTACGAAAACGGCACGTACCTGCTTGACCAAATCTCTCGGTCAATTTCAGTGTGAGGCATGCGTAATTTCTAACGGTTTTAATGCGGCTTCTTTATCATACATAATATTAATGACACCAAAAATGTATTGATAGGCGATTGCAGTCATCCCCAATGTATCGGTTCTTTACTAGTGCGCAGTCGGCCTCACTTTATGTTAAATTTTATGGTTTCTACACTGATAAATGTTTTTCCCATTAAAACAGGCAGTCTTGTATCCTGTGTAGACTTCACATGGTTGTAACGACGGTCACAACGGTTAACCCGCTGGCAGCTGGAATCCAAGTGTGATTCCGTAACCCCACTCACCAAGCAATTAGTGCAGAATGTTGTCATTTGCGTGAAAAATTTTGTCTAATTTTGTGAATGAGCGGAATACCGCTCAGCGATTCTCATGATCTCACCCACAAATTAAACTCCTGATAACGATTGTTATCAGTTTGAGGTGGATTGGATCAAACACTTACCAGCGTCACAGCAAGGTACGCATTCACTCACCAGTGAGTTGTTTGCAGTTTGTCCTAACATTGGGACGCAAAGTATTGGGCACCTGTTTGGTAATCTACCAAACACAGACGCATGAACTGATCATTCAGTCAATGCCTCCCAGTGGGCGCGATTCCCTTAATTCGCCCCGCTGCCTTGCGGGTAGGTTATTTAGCCAAAGGCTCGGGGTGGAGTCCCTTCCCTACTTCGGCTTTGGCAACCGGGTAGTATCACGCCCTCTCGTAAAACCATGGAATGTATTACAACGTGCTCATCAGCTACTGTTTCTGCTAGTCACTTTCACTCGACTTCATCACACGCCAATTGTTTGTTTGCTAACCATCCTCTCTTTCCGTTACCCGATTCATGTGTTCAGCAATCTGGCTGCGATTCCGGTTGCGCCGCAGACCAAGGAGTTCAACCTATGGCTCTACTTCGTCCCCGCTCCTCGTTCCGTCTGGCGTGCTTCAACGTTCGGACACTCATGCAGATTGGACAGCAAGCCGGTCTAGCGCGCACCCTAGATTCCCTAGACATAGATGTCTGCTGCCTTTCAGAAACCCGATTGCAAGATCCCAGCACTGTGCTTACATTGACATCCCCCAGTGAACACGAAGCCAGATATCACCTGCGTCTTTTTGGAGATCCAGAAGCAGCCTCAGCGGGTTTGGCTGGTGTAGGTATAGCACTAAGTGGCAAGGCCGAGGCGGCATTACTGGAATGGTTCCCGATTAACAGCCGACTATGTGCAGTTCGGCTCCGAGGTTTATGTAGAATCAAGAGGCACGGCGAAGAGAGACACAGCTTGTTTGTGCTCTCCGTGTACGCTCCAACTGACTGCAGTGGCGACTCGGTCAAGGACGAATTCTACCGGGATCTACAACAGCTCTTGACTAGTACCAAAAAGTCGGATGTCGTTATCCTTGCTGGGGATTTTAACGCACGGGTTGGCCGCCTGTTACCATACGAACGCCACCTTGGTGATCATCATGCGCTCGAGGTGGCCCGCTCTGATAACAGAGAGAGACTTCTCACATTGTGCGAAGACAACGGTCTGTTTCTTTCGAGCACTAACTTCAGGCATACGAAGAAGTGTTCCGCAACGTGGCGTCCCCCTTCTTCAACACAACCGTGGTCTCAAATTGATCACATTGCAATTCGCTGTCAATAGCAGTGTGCGACAGGGCTGCCCTATGCCCATTCCTCTTCAACTTCGCAATCGAAGTTGTTCTGTCAAATGCTTTAGAAGGTTTCTAACATTTTGGCCTAGAATTTCTACCGGGTAAGCGCGCGACCGACTTAGATTATGCTGATGATATCGCCTTACTTGGTGACCATCCTCAGGGTATGCAATTCATTCTGGATCGTTTGGCGGTTGAAGCATCTAAGTATGGCATGAGCTTCGCCCCATCGAATTGTAAAGCACCTGCTCCCGTACTCACTGTCGAAGGTGCACAACTTGAACAGGTAGATAGTTTCGTCTACCTTGGAAGCTGTATTTCTGCTGACGGCACTATCAATAAAGAAGTTTCTCTTCGTATCGCTAAAGCTCGATCAACATTTGTCAATCTGAGTCACTAGTGGCGTCGTCGCTACGTCTCCTTCTCACTAAAGGACCGCGTTTACAGCGCATCAGTTCGCTCAGTATTTTGTATAGGTGCGTCCTGGCCGATTCGCGTGGAAGACATGCGTCGTCTTTCTGCGTTCGAAAACGGTTGCTTAAAGTGGATCGCTCGTGTTTGGTGGCAACATCGAGTTAATAGTAATGACGTTCGACGTCGCATCTTGGGGGATGTGAGTATTCCCTTCAACAAACTGGTTTTGTTGCGCCAGTTAAGATGGCTCGGTCTCCTCCTACGCATGGCACCTGAGCGTCTACCACGTCGCGTTCTATTCGCTCGTCAAGGACCTGGCTGGAGGCGACCGCGTGGTGGTCAGCCTTCCACTTGGCGGCAGAACATGAAATCGCTGACGTCGTGTCTATCCGCTGTTGGATCCGTACGTTTTCCAGGATAGAGACCCAAAGATGAGGAGTGCCAATGGCTTAGCACTCTTGAAGATATGAACCGCAGTCGGAATCAATGGAAGAATTGTGTACAGCATTGTATTGATTCACACGTTTAATACTACAAACATTGAAAATGACAAAAAGTGAAAAATCGGCGTGTGAAAAACAAACTGAAAATGCTTTGTTCTACTTTTTGTCAAAATGTTCCATTCTTCCTGCGGCAAATTAGCTGAAGTGTGTTGCTCATCTTCAACTACCATGCCACGATGATTATGACGCACTGACTTCCTCTTATCTGCTAATCTCCATGGCTTTGTTGGGTCTCTGTCTAGTTGCTAGGCTGTTGAGATTACATACATACATACTGGTAAACCACGAGAACTTCTACTTGGGAAGAACTTTGCAGTCACCACCAATACTGCTCGATATCAGTCATAGTCTGTCTTTATGAGGCTTCATTATCTATAGTATCCATTAGTATTTCCTCCAACTCAGATTATAATGAATACTAATTCTGTTCATGTTTTTCACTACTTACTTCCGGTTATTTTCCCATTTATCTTTTCTTCAGTTCTCATCTTATCCCATCCCCATTCAAGGACCCACTGATACCTGCTATCCTACATCAATCTCACACGACATATCCAACTCTGTCTTGTCTGCTCATCGGATTGAAGAACATGACCCCTGCTTTCCCTCAATCTCACACGTTTGCCCGGTTACAGTTCAGACAGCCGCCACACCGTCACCCTCAGTGGTTGCATCGAGTCTTACCTCTTTGACTCATCCACCTACCACCCAGTCATTTCCATCTGTTACTAAGCCACCATCAACACAATGCGGAGCCCTTCAAACTCCTAGTCGCCGCACGTCAATGGCCCCGTCATCAATCAGGTACACAGGGATTACTGCAACAGGAGTAAGTCGGTGTTCTCTGTGGTGCAACTTCAGGGCGCATTCGTACCCTTCTCATCATCCTCTTCTTATTGCATTATTCAATCACATTTATCCCTAGATCTCTTTAAACCTTGATTATGTCAGATACTTGTTCTTTACTGTAAGCCTTACGACTCCTCGTGTACCGAAGTCACTTTATGAATTGCCGCCCCTGTTGGCTCTTATTTAGTTTGGAATACACCGCATGTTCGTCATGTTGTAACACAGTTTTGTTCTCATTGCATTACATGCAAAGGCGTCCTGCGAATTGACTAGACGAACTTTCTTTTTGATTTATAGCACTCTCCTGTTCCACCATCGCTTACTGTGGCTACAAGTGCCTTTCCAGGAAGCACTGGATTGACGCATAATTCAGTTGCAATGCTTCCTGCTCCACGGCGGCGCCGCCCGTTTGGCCATGTCATGTCAAAAAATACACCAAACATTTCCACCTCTTCATCATCCTTGCTATCTCCATGTACTTCTGATCCAGAATTCACCACACAAGGCAGCCATGTTAGCACGGTACTTCGCGGCTCCGTTAACGAAGCCTCAGCTGGCATCTCACCGTCTATTTCGGTAAGTTTGGTGTTATTTTAACGAACACATTTATCTCCACGTCACGTACCTTGAGTGACTGTACTCACTTAGTTTGTGCACGCACATGATCAACGAGATTGTTTTTTGTATGTCGTTTTATTCTCATTGATACCACCCACAATCTCCACTTGCTGTGCTCATCACTCACAAACCGTCGTTACCGGAAGATATACTCTCCATCACTTCGACGATTGGCCTCAGCTGTATGCACTTCATTTGACACTTTCACATAGCTGTATATTGCATGCTTTCGCCGTTTCTTATTTGGGTGAGCTCCTCGACAGTTTTCCTAGGCCCAGACGAAGAGCTGATTGAAAATACATACACACTAATTTACCTCGGCAGTGATACAGATTTACTTGAGCTCCGTTTCGCCATTTATTGCGTACTACGCAAGGTAGTGTGGGTTTTGTGCTTTTTTATCTTTAAAGTCACCTCACATTCAGTCATCATTTGTCTAGATAAGATGCCTGTTACGCAAATAGATTTGTCTTCGTGATTTGACCTTTGCTCCTTTACTTTGACACTCTTGTCTTTGTAACATTAAGTCGAGTTGGAATATGTTTTCGCATCAGATTTTTACTCTCCTCTTATAGTTGTCTGCTGTTGCGGCACCTACGTACATACAACCAGGGAATTCAGAATCCACATGTGCTTCTTCTCTTCCGTTCTGTTCCACTCTTCCTCCGGGCTCTGAATCGCCTCCGAATAATGCATCTGCTCCTAATGCTATCAATGTTTGCACTCTCAGTCCGTCTGCCGGCTCCCAGAATCTCGCCATGGCCACATTTTCTGAGTGTTCCTTGAAAGAAACCGATACCAATGTGGTTTCAAATATCAACAGGTTCGTTATCATTGTCATTACCTTTACTGGAGTAAAGTATGTACAATCATGCGAAGAGCGTGACCTAGCAAACTTAGGTGGCTCCAGTTCCACAGGCAATCCAGTGGGACCTCATTGAATCCGCCATAAAAATCAACCGGCACGTATCAGCGTCACACTTTCGGTGCTATTGCCCGATGTATGCAATCGAGCATTAGTATTTAGTTTTTTTCGTTATTCATAAAATCTGCTTTAATTTTCGAGGGTATGCTATTGGTGGTAATGACTCATGGTTTAAGTTTTTCATATATATGGCAGCCACCTTTGTACTGCTGTCTACGATACGGTGAACTCGCATCTCATCAACCATACGAACCATTTCGATAGTGTTCCCACAGTCTGCAGCACGAAAATTCAAATAAAAACTGATCGCAAATAGAACTGCTTCCTTCATATAAACGTTTAATGTCCCGTTTTTTGCAATAAAACGATTATTTTATTTTATGGAGTTCCTATCTTTGAAATGGTCCAATATGTGTATAACTACGATAACACGATTTAGTGTGTGGGAGCAAATGTATCTTTTGTTGCGAAAAGTGAAATTGGTAAAAACGGAAATTGCTGATGACGGAAAGGTTGCGAACATGAAAGATCTGTCTACATATTGCTGCATACAATTTAACAAGCGGATATGCTGCGTTCTCACCACCAACACTTAGAAATTATGGCCGAAAACACCAATTGATTCCTTATATACGAAATTTTAGAAATCTTTCTTTAAAACGAAAACATATTGCTTCCAGTAATTCGAAGTGGGCTTTGTGCAATAAACTGTTGTTCACAATTTATGGATCAGTTCAATGCGTTTGCATATCAGCGATTTTATAAAAGCCCTTACATATCTCCATTCAGATTGTTGGCCGGGGGACACTACCATCCATTCTAATACGCGTCACATGGGTGCATCCAGTTTAGCGATAAAAGCCTTCGTCGCGGATCGTTATGCTGATTTCTGCGACCGCTCATCATTGCGGTGCCTCTGTTCTGTGCTTCCTACATTGGTGACGCAGCTGCGAGTAGTCTGAACATTATCTTACTGAGATGGTTTGCGTGTCTCTTAGCCATCGGGTTGCTCTGTGTGTAATCTTCATGTGTCATCGGAGTTGTTCGTCTGATAACTGTATCCACACTTCTGGAGGTTAAAAATAGGTCGAAAACTCTATGCCTTTAACACATTTACTGGTTATACGTTCTGCCCCATTAACGTAGAACACAAGTAGAGCCACTGGCTGTTTCTGACGGGGGGGGGGGAAGAATCACCCTTACTGCTTAGCCGAATTCCCCGTGTAGTCTTTTGAGCTGACCTCTTTAACCAACTTATTTGTGGATCAGGCTTTTAAGCCAAAGACTCAAGGTAGAGAACTTCGAACAAAGCCGCTTCTCTGAATGAGCAGCTGGAGATTATTATCTGCCCATTAGACATCCCCTCTAGTGGTTGTTTTCCTTCTTTCTCACAAATCCTACTCTCATACTTATCCTAAACAGACCACTACTGGCTTTAGAGGTCGCTTTATCTCGTCAGATCATCTTTCAAACCTAGGGTGCCATTGTGCATTGGGTCTTTCATCTTCCACACATTGTGTCGACGGTCAACAGGCGACACTCGCTTTCCCTCTGAATGGATGTGTATTGTGTCTCGGAAACACGCGTGCAGGACAGCACTGTTCCAATTCATGCGTGTTTACTAGACTCGTGTTCCAGTTACTGAGCCTGCGCGTTTCGCTTCTCTAATAATACTGAGTCACCGACCCCCATTATTGACGTTGCTGTAGTCGAACTCAGCAGACATACCGAAGTTAATTTTCTGGACTGAAATCATGTGCACATCCGACTGGGTGCCATTTGGCTTCGAATCTCCATCGGAGTCAACAATAAGCAGTTGAATTAAGAGGAGTGTCTTCACGTCACTTCGTCCTACACTCCCACTGGCTCTTACCCCCTGTATCTAAGAGGCCGGTCACACAAACCTCTATTCCCCAATTCTAATGGCCTAAACTTGTGAATCTTGTGACCCATTGTGGTGGACATGAATCCCTTAGTCCGTCATCTATCAGAATTTAGGCATCACCTCGGAGACTACTGCAAGATCGGTGCTTGTGGTATTACCAGTGGTGAGTGTGTTCTTTTGTGTGAGCTGATTGCATCCCCTGTATCATCAGCGTGGCTTTTCATCGCGTATTCACACCGCGTCTCCGATAAGTGAAGCTTTGAACTGTTTAACGATGGATGATTGAGACATCCTCAATTGCGCCAACTAGATCGTTTGGTAGTGCGTTTTGGGGAGCAGTTCAGTCGTCCCACTGTATCGCTTTTGTTTGCTAAGTTATTAGAGCTCGCGTGCGAATTTGATCTCATACCAACTTTGAAGAGAATTCGACGTCAATGCAACTAAACAATGCTTTTGTCCTTGACGACTTTCTCCCACATCGTTGCTAACAGATAGAGGGACCACTTTGGCGACTGATCTATCTATTCTGCGCAACGATATTTCGGACTCCCAAGAGGTGCTATCGGACCAATGTGGTGGATCCCCGTCTCCGTTTTCAAAATGCTTCGACAGATTTATGCGAAAACTTCAAGTTATTAACCTTACTACCACTGCCTCCAAAATTCTGACAAATTCTAGTCTAAATCTCCATTGGTGCTCGTGAAAGGCAGCCTGGTGTCGACATCAGTTGAGGATGCATTGATGACTTCTACTTCTCGTCGCGTGTGATGGAACAGCAACTACATACAAACGATCCACTACGGTGGTTTCCTGTGCCTCAGCTATTCTCGTTAACTTGTCTCCTCCCTATTGTTAAAGCGATCGTTGGTGATGCTCCTTTCTATTCCAAAACCAATCCAGACATCCACTGGGATCGGTCCCCTGAGTTACCACGACAAGTTGGGTCTACCGGGATTCCGTTTCCCCTTCAACTTTTTAACCTAGCTGATTATAACTCTGTTCCAGAGTTGAAGTTCTGCCAAGTGACTAACTGACACACTGAGTTTGCGGGCGACGTAGCTCTATTTGGGTCGAGTCTGTCCCCTGTTCATGAATAGGACGATGCAGAGTTGTGCGCTTCGCCATGGGATGCAAAATGCCATCTCAATGGGTGGTGTTACTAACCTATACAGACACCCTACCGGTTCCATTTATCACTGAACAGCCTCTAATAGTGGTTGATCGGTTTACCTACCCTGACGGTTCTATCACTTCTGACGGTCGCATCACTCGGCATGTTACTTCAAGCATCAGCAAAGCCTGCCTGGTTTTTAAGAGGCTTGGTTATTTACAGGTACAGCGCGATGTGTACTTCTCAATTAAAGGTGGAGCAATATTGAAACGCGATCGGTGTTATCCTATGTGTCAGAAACCCGGTCAATTTACATTGAACACACTGAATGCTTTGTCGTCTTTAGTCGCTGGTGCCTACCGAGTAAAGCTCGTTGATTGACCAATACTGAAGTCGCCAGTTGGTGCTTGGTAAGAAATCCTCTGATGCCCAGTGTTGTGTCTGCTAAAATTGAACCGCTTACATTGGCTTGATCCTGTCTACAAACCGTCCATTTTATGTTGTCGCTGCTGCTAATCCGGTGAAACCACGTGATGACCAATACGATGCCTTGGTGTAAATGCATGAAGGTATTGATTGGGACCACATTGGTTGCAGGCCCTATCGGACATGCTGTAATCGAAGAATTTATAGCGTTCTTGCATTCGGTCCCATGTATCTTACTACTGATCTTCCATCCCGATTGATTTTGCTCACTTATTACTAGCCCTATCTGTGTGCTACCTTATCTTTCTCACCATTATTATTTTATTATTATACACATCAGCTAGAGGTGGGAAAAGCACCTCCGCTATTGTGCCGCAATACATGAAGGAAATACATACATACATACAATACATTACACAAAGGAAAAGTAGATACAACAGTTGCATGCCAGCTGAGCTACCAGCAACGGATAGGCATCGTTCCGGTAAGCTTCCAGCTAGCTACTACGCAAAAAGAAAAAAATTATTATGTTTTACCCTAGGAAATGAGATCGTAGATGGATGGGGGGAGGCTAAAAGGGATGGGGAGGGACAAAGAAACTCACAGCATGAACGCCACTGAGGTCGGCTCCTTGCCATGTCAGCAAGTGTATCCAGCCAAACGTGTTCACCGTCTTTTGGACCCCAACCAGGGAGCCGTGAAGCTCCAACTGAGGCCAGCTCCGAAGTGAGGGACTTCATTCCCCTGGACCAAGTCATCGCTTGGCCACCTCTCCTCTTCTTCCACCCACATCCCCGGTGAGCAAACAACGCACGTCGAGGGAGTCGGTGGGCTGGCATGCGTAACACGTGGCCGAGCCATCGGAGCCTGGTGCGGGAAATAACGGTGCTGAGCGGTTCAGATCCTTTTCCTGGGCCGTAAACAATGCGTCGAACACGCTCGTTACTCACGCGGTGTTCCCACCATATGTGAGCCAAACTGCGAAGGCACCGATGGTCGAACGTAACTAGCCTCTTCATGTCCGCCGATCTTAGGGGCCAGGTTTCGCAACCGTACAGTAAGGTCGAACGTACCGCTGCATTCTACACTCTACCCTTCAGGGCGAGAGTGATGTCGCACCGCCGCCATAGGTGGCGAAGATTAGCAAAAGCACTTCGAGCTTTCGCTATACGGTTCGTGATCTCGTCTTCGATCCCAAGGGCGCTGATACAACTTCCCAGGTAATTGAATTTCTGAACGACTTCTAGCTGATCCCCACCAAGGGTCAGCGCAGGAGGCGATCCCTGCCAATCTTGGAGGAACGCTTTGCACTTCAATGGTGCAAAGCAAAGCCCGAAGCGGCTGACAGCCAATGCTAATCTGTCTAGCGCGGCTTGGCACGTCTGGGAGCTGTCACAGATGAGGGCAATGTCGTCAGCATACTCCAAGTCAAGAAGTCGTTCTCCTGGGAGTAGCTCCACACCTTCCAAGTCATGTCCTGTAAATGCAAACTCCATGACTTCGTCAATAGCGAAGTTGAAGAGGAAAGGTGACAGCGGGCATCCTTGTCTCACACCGCTGGAGATATTAAAGGATGACGACAGCTTGCCGTAAGCCCGCACTCTGCCCGTGTTACGCGCATATAATGCTTGGATAATATTTACATATTTCTCGGGCACACCTTTCCTGAGTAGACAATTCCAAAGGGCACATCGATCAACCGAATCAAAGGCACCTTTGATGTCGAGGAACACGACAACGGTGGGCCGCCAAGATGTGTGGCGGTGCTCCAACAACTGACGCAAAGTGAAGATGTGGTCAATACAGCCACGACCAGGACGAAACCCGGCTTGCTCCTCACGAATCTGGCTTTCACGAGCGCCAGTCAGTCTGTGAAGAATTATGGAGGCGAGTAATTTGGAGGCGATGGAGATCAGACTGATTCCTCTATGGTTGCCGCATTCCGAGCGCGAGCCGCCTTTGAAGATGGGAACAATAACAGAGCGGCTCCAGTCGGTTGGGACAGTCTCCTGCTCCCACAGTTTCACTAGTAATTCATGCAAAGCATCCACAAGAGCAGGGCCTCCGAATTTGAAGAGGGCTGGAGGAAGATCATCTGGTCCCGCGGCTTTGTTCAACTTCAACAGTCGGATCTCACGTTCGACTTCTGAGCGAGAGGGTGGATCCAAAGGGACAACCCACGGAGCAGGGCGATCAGTGACCGGCGAATCGGACAATTCTCGCCGATTAAATTACTTTTCAAAATGCTCAGCCCAACGCTCCAAACATTTTGACAAATTGTGGATAGGCTGTCCACTCACATCACAAATTGTTTCACTAACACCAGGTCTCCTGCTGCCCGTTTCCCGTATCAGACGGAATAACTTAGATGGTTGCCAAGGGCATCGGCCACTTCCATCTCTGACGCACGATGAGACCACCAAGATTCGCGGTCTCTCTTCAGGCTAGCACGGAGTTTTGCCCGGAGCTCTTTGCGAGTTTCATTGTGTTCGCTTCCAGCCGGGATATGCCGGCGAGCGTCGATAAGTTCCAGAGACCGAGAAGAGACCCTATGTCCATGTGGGCTTTTAGACATACCACATGAGGATTTGCCCGCTGCTAGTAAGGTCTGGCGAACATGTGACCAGTGACCATCAATTGTCTCCAGTGAGCGAGTACTCAACTCGCATGTCAGCGTACTTTGATACGCATTCAGAACAGCTGGCTTTGTCAGTTGGCTGGTGTCAATGCGCTCATAGCGTCGTCGTGGGCGTCCTCCAAAGCGCATCCGCATGTCAGCACATACAAGTGCATGATCAGTGTCCACACATGTGCTCCAAATCGAGCGACAATTCTGGATGCAGCCTCTCCAGCGGTAACTAATAGCAATGTGATCGATCTGCGTCCAAGGCTGGTTCGAGGCTGGTGGGCGCCAAGTCACCCTCCGGCGGGTGCTGTGTCGGAAATTAGTGCTCGCAAGAAATAAACGAGCATCCTCACACAAATGAAGTAACCATTGTTCACTGTTGTTATCCAGGCAACGTGTCATGGCTACCGTATCCACTACAATTCCGTTCAGATCATGGCTATGCAATTTGCTACATGTTGTTTCTATCGACAGTCCTATCTAACTGCTTGCTTGCGATGAACAACTACGAATCAGTCAGATATTCACGGTAGATCTACTAGCTTGACTCGGGTCACTGTCGTGTTAGAATCGCACTATGCGAATGGAAGAAAATCGAATGGGCATGAATCAGTAAGCGACATGTGCGCTCTAGAATCCAATCAGTGCATCTTCACAATGTCTTAATAGTTGCTTTCAGCGCTGCGTCCATTACCATTGTCATGATTTAGATTTTGCTGAGCCACGCTCTCTTCTGGAGGATATCCTTAGTCCATCACAGTGATCTGACCAATCATTTCCAGCCACTGGTGTTTCGTGTAGTCTTATGAGAACGGAAAGGAACTCTGGCCAACGACAAAACGTTCGTTGCCCGCAAACAGTCGGATCATTTATACCTTAAGTGCAATTGAATCACCATCACATTGCGACAGCTTTTCACTGGCTAGTTCTCTTTGTCTCCTTTTATGCCGTCTGCTGAACTTGGTTGACGCTGTGCTCGGTCCAACCCACACATGTGGCCAATTTGAACCGTGTTATTCTAGATCGAGTCAATTCTAACTTAGCTATCAGGTCCGTGGAGTCGTGATCATCTCACTTCCTGTCCGATAGTCCCATCCCAGCTCCGTTCATCCAAGGTACAAAAATTTCCCAGCTGCAATGCTCATCCATAATCATTCATTGTATTTTGTCGGCTTTTTTGTAGCGTTCGCTATTTGGATGGTTCGATCTTACTTCAGATGTACCATCGGCACATTTCCATTTTGTTTAACTTCCATCTGCAATTACTTTCATTTCAGTGAAACATTGATTACCCGCGTGAACTGAGATGGCTTGGTTTGCGGAATGAATTAGGTACCTTGTTTGACTACGTTGCAGCTTTTTTATGGTTTCTGCTTGGACTGCATGGAATAAAATTCTCTTCAGATTAAACTAATCAAGCAGTAAACCATCAGTACGGTTTCATGGGTTTCGTCCGAGCGTTTCCACCTCTAGGGATTTTGCGTAGCAGCATGGTCCGCAGCGTGAGATTTTGTTTCGATATTCCGAGTCGCCACGTAGTAAGGCTTAGGTCAAGATCAAGAAGGTGATTGTATTGTTTATCTTGGATCTACCTGGGTTTGTCACAGACACAATCTTTAAATAAAAATAATTCAGCCATCTGTGACTGCACTGTGCCTATCAACCTGAACACAGCTAACCACCTGCGGCATTTTGTTGGCCCTCTTACCTCCACACATTTTACATGTGTTTTTTAATCATGCGAGGTACCACCGCGTTTTTTCTAGATCGAGTTTTTCTACTAGTCGACAGCCTTGCTTGTGTCGAAGAGAAACGGCATCTCTTTTACATTTCCCATCATGTATGCCTGCTCCATTATCTTTTGTTTATGCCTTGCTTTCAACTGTTTAATTACTCCTGTCCGATTAGTTGCCCACACTAGCATGGACTTCACTCTTCTACGTTCCATAGAATACTTTATGGCTCTACTAGATATTCACACATAAACATCCCTCTGCATCACCTTATTTTCTACGGTTGTCCTGCTTTTTCCCCTGTAATTTTCTTTTCCATGCAGCAGCCGCTTTACAAGTTGTACTGGCTAATTAATATCTTGAGTTATGTCACTTATTCTCATTCTGCTAGGCTTTATATAGCATGCCTCCCACATATCACACTTTTCACCTCCTTTCTAACTTGCTAGCTCGGTGCTCACCGCAAAGTTTGATCCAAGACCGGCAGCGCCACTGCTCGATCACGATACGGCACTTCCAGTAGTTTCATCCTCCTCCTTCTCGACGGGACCAGTTTCTGCGAACCTATGTTCTTCAGTATCCGACATACCATCGGCCATTCATCGTATGGCACATTCCACTAAATTTTCACCATCAGCTCGCCCACAGCTATGCCATCTGTCAAATGGTTGTTCAGGCAGTGCCGATCTTCACACCACATTGGAGCGTTTGGCCTTCACGTGTAGCACTGCTCATTCTGACTTTGTCGAGTTCCATCACGATACTTCATCCCCATTGGAGGCAACTGGGTTGTTCCCTGTTAATCGAAAAAACCAATCTTCCTTTGGTACTGCTGTTCCTCAGGTTCCGCCCGCATTGTTGCATCGTGGCCCTGATGAACATCGTATTCTGACACACGTAGTCGATGGTTACGTGATCTATGAGAGCAATAAACCGTTTCCGGTATGTTATTTTGTACCCTACTTTTATCGTTTTTTCTGTATATTCGTGGTTACTTCTCTTCCATAACTGCCTTTTGCCCTTTATGTATAACCTTCCGAGTGCGTGATACGAGAGATCACCGACTTGGCTTTTCGCTCTGTTCTTCCACCAAACAACGCGTTATCATTCTATTCTGATACCCGAATCGCTTTTCGACTTTACAGTTCTTCACATTGATCTGTACTTTGGAACCAAATCTCATTACTTTGCCGGACATTAGTTCACCCACTCTCACAGCACGTGTCAGAAAAGATTCTTGATACTCTATCGCTGGTTCGTTAATTACCGTGTCGGAGTATCAACAGTCTTACTTTCACTTCCACCTATCTTGCGCTTTCCTTGACACGAACTTATTCGTAACCTACCACTTAAATGTCGCAGTCGTTGTTTAGCACTTTTGTCTTAGTTTAGGTGCCTCATTATCGTAACATTTACACTATGACTGGGCTGAATATTACTTATTTTCGTCGAACTTTCACTTTTCAGCTCCTGCATGGCCTCTCTGTTGCTTTCATTATAGACTCGATGCAATACGATTGGACTGGTTTGAAAATTCATCCGTTTCACCGCTTTTAGCATCAGTTCATCGTTTCACTTGGTTTATCTGGTTGGTGTATCACCTCCTTGTTCTTGGACCTGGCATCTACCTGTTGTATATCCGGTGCAAAGATTGACAATCCCCGCCTGAACTCTAGGGGATTTGCTGTATCTTCCTTTTTGACGTCTAGATATGCTTCGGATAGACGCTCTTTAAAATTACTCGGCACAGTTTCTTTATCATTGTCACACCCGACAAATCGCAATCGATCGACTATCCTCGATGATATGCAGGATTCTCGAGTTTGGCCAACTTTCTACTTTAAATTACATCCATCTCTGTTACTTATTTCGCCTAAACGCTTGCTTATTGCCTTAGATAATAGTAACTCTAACGTACTAGCTGCCATCCTCAGAATGTTGATGATAGGATCAATTGCTAACGTTTTGTTTACAGTCACATTTCAACCACACCTGCCGTCTGGTTAACCAGGTGTCTTCGATCGTCTGACGAGTTTAACTCTTATTACAGGTCAAAAACGGTATGGCAGTCGTCGAGGCGGCTCTGTTACAGCAATGTCTCCATGAAGAAACTGTTTTGCATTCTGTGTCGCCGTCAAAGAATGGGATTAGTAGTCATGTTGAAAACCATGCCACAGATGATCCCGAGTCTGAGCATTTGGAGGAAGGTGACATCGAGAAGATAGTGGAGGATCGCATAGATGCCGTGAGCTCCAGTTACTCTCATTGTGCCGCGGTTACAGAACCGTTGGGTAGACGTTGGAACAAGTCATTCTCATCGACAAATGATCGGCTCATGGAGACTGTTGCACATCTTCCAGGCAACGACATTGTTTCCAAGGTGCACGGGCACTCAAGTACTGAAAAAGAACCAGCCTCCGGTAAGTCGACTTTCTGAGGTTTCTCCATTTACATTTTGCATACCAGATTCCGATAGAATCGCTTCGTTTATCATATGAATAGGTAAACGGGCGTCAGAATTTTTCATCCATTTCGGTTTCGCACTGCATTTACCTCTCTAGTGTTAGAGATGGGATGCTCTCCACTATTCCCTGTTCGAACAGCTTTCTTCATCCCTGAGTTAATCCAGATGTTGCACCATTTTGCTTACTTTCCTTTGGCACATCAGCCTTCGCTTTGATTCCCGAAACTGGGGCGGTACAAATTTTGTTCTATGCATCATCGCGCTCCGCCCGTGCCTCCTAATCCTGCGGTCATGGGTTCGAGCCTGCTCAGGTGACTGAACGACTCTCGCATTGTCCTTAGCCCACCCGCCACTGCTTGAAGTTGCGCGGCAGCGAAGCGTCGGTACTACGTACCGGCGTACTGCTGATGGCTGTCACCAACTTGCTCATGTTTGCACGTATACACTCTGTGTTATGCTTGTCTCGAGACCTTACCAGACAAGTTTCGCAGCCGACACAAGTCACGCGTCTGCTGTCGTCACACAGTCGGACTGCCTGTTTAACTGACCTCTTGTGTTGAGATTTAACTAACTAAATAAATAAAGGGTATATTTCTCGACGGTGCGAGGCACAGTCAGACTCATTGGTCTGATCATTATGTACAACCGGATCGCATGGGACGGACAATATTTCTTCGGGTTCTTTTTTTAGAGCAGTTCCCAAATTGGTTTGCGGGGATATTTGAACTGTTGCGTCTTTCAACTAGATGGATTTGTTGATAATCCTGATAAATGTAGATAAATCTAAATGTTCTAGTAAGGTAATACGGCCTGCGTCTCCAGGGAACCTGCCTCCATGTAGGGTGGTCCCTCTAAAGGTTTCACCCACATTTCCCTGTCTTTTCTGACCGAGTGTTGGTGTGGCCTTAGAGAAGGTTTGCCATCACCAATTGTACTCATCTTTAGAGCTCTTTTCAAATGCAAATCTCTGGACATTTAGGTCATATAGTCCGTACCCTCAATCGTTTTTTTTGAGTCACGCACTTTTATTACTCGTCAGTCTATGGCAGCTTGCCTCGCATGGCTTTATCTGTTATTTTGGAAGCTGAAATTCCTCACCTCTTGAGATCGAGGCAGTCGTGACCAACAATGGAGTAAAGAAGAATCAGGCTAGACGACATCATCATTGCGATTTATGCGGGCCACTTACAGACCCAAGTGATTATTGATCACTTGCTTCGAACGTCAGAAGTCTATCGGTCCACGTGAGCTGACCGTGTAATCAACTCTTGCGTAATATTGGCTAGAGTCCGCCTCAATGACGTTCGTTTGTCCTTTTGATCTGGGGCGGAGTATCGTTTTGACCCTCAGTGCTTCATAGGCAGTATCAAGATCTAAGTGTCGGTTGGTATCGCGGAGCACTGAGAATAGCTACCTGCTACTGGGCTCTTGCTCTCAGGAAGATGGAAGAGATATTCAATTTTACTAGATAAATGTAAAGAATGGAAAGTTAAACAAAAAACAGCTTATACCTTGACGGTGTGCGATACGGATTGGGGTTTATCTGGTCGAATAGGTGATTGAAAACATTTTCTGTTCAAGTTTGCGGGATAATCGTTGATTATGACGCGGGGCAGTGGAAGCCGCAAGAAAGGTGTCTCCTCGATGCTATCGTATGTTTACACGATACCCAGCAGTTTGTGACGGTATGTTGTTGACATAAGGTGTGGGCGCCTTGACCCTGGATGTTTGTTTAGGACACACACACTATATCCCCTTTCTCTCGCTCTTATTATTCTTCGTTTTATGGGTCCCCGTGGTTATGCGGCAGCAGAGCATCAGTTTAAATGGCTGTTATACTGTTGTTTTGTGTTTGGCTTGCCCGCCGGACACCACCCATCTGTGTGCTTATCTCATATTGCGATGTTCCGGCAAATCCGATGCATACTTGGAGCCCGATGTGGCATTCAGACGGTGGTCCGTTTCAATTCATGATCGTAGCTTGTTTCTGAGTAGCTGTTGATTTCATCTTATCTCTTGCTTACCTTAGTTTGCATTCCATATAGATTTGCTTTGCTCAGTATGTATATTTTGAATTTTGCACTACGGCTTTCGTCATTTGTTTTAATCCCTATAGATATCACAGCGTGCAGTAGAGATAACATATTTTCAGTGCTACAAATCGAAACAGCAACCGCGAAAGCCGTCCTGGACAAGCCTCTTGGTGACGGCTTCTCTCCAGCCACCAAATCGACCGTATCCTCGGCAGTTTCACAAGAACGCATGTCTGTCATGTCTTCTTTTCCTTTCGGCTCTGTTCCTTACTCAAGGGCTAGTTCGTTTAAAGATGAATCCATCTCGTTTGGACCTTTTCGGAGACAATCAAATGCCCCGTTTTCTTGTTCTTCGGTGTATGCAAATCTCGTGAGTTATTTTCACTTTTCATTTTATGTTGTCTTATTGTGTGTGTTCATTGTATTCCTTTGCAGTTGAACGTTCGAATTGCGTTTCTGCATCCGAGCTCGGATGACGTTTGCACGTGTTCTTTATGAAGTTCACTTCCAACCTGTTATTTCCCTTACACGTTTCTCTGTTCATCCATTTTGGTGCCTGTTCTCTTGATCGCAAGTGCAACCTTGCCTCACTTCCACACTTTCATCGGTTGCCTTTTTGGACCTACATAAGTCTAGGTCAACAGTGCGAATATGCCATCTTTGTTGCCGGCGTTTAATCCGGAGAAATGCATTGTAACAATTGTTACGCAGACTGCGTGGCGTTTTCATCCTCACCCTGCACATTAGCTTATGATATTCAGCAACGCTCCCAATCGGATCATTAAGTGCTCTCTGCTGCTTGTATTTTATGTGCAAATACTCCTCTCTACACACAATGATGATACTAATACTAATGGTAATAATTATAATAAAATAATGTGTCCGCTTTACACCGTAACGGGGTCTCGTTGCTGCGCGGGGGCTGAGTATACCGCGAAAGCGCTCACCCCTACGCGAATTTAAATCGGTGACTTTATGGTTGCGAGCCGAACGCGCAGATCACTCGGCCACCGGTCGAAACGAATCATGGTGATGATCGTTAGATGACTCATCTCATCGTCCGCCTTGCCTGGGTCTACATTAAGTCGATGACAGCGATCCCGACTTTTTACACGTTAAGCGTTGTCTAGGTAAACGAAAGGTACCTACCAGACTCTTTATTCTTTCAATCCCCGCAAGCTCTTTGCACATGTCATCACTGACCAGCATGTTGTCGAACACACTCAGACCGACCGCCAGTGGACATTTGAAGATTATGATCAGGATAATGTTGACGATACTGTCTCAAAAATCGATACGGTGTTTTATGTAACGGCATGTTGTTGAACACCAGCTGACACAGCTCGCTTACGCTGCTTGCTGGTGATTTCTATACCACTTACCAAAGGCGTCGGTATATCTCTATGCCATACATAGATACTGGAATAATTGCGGCTTTGATCTCTCAACCATTGATCCACATATTGTTGTGCCATTGTTTCGGCAAATGACTGACGCCCCAAAAGCGTTCGGGCATTACAGAGGCAGACTGCACATTTTTTCAAGGTGCTCCTCAGGGGAGGCACTCATAAAAGTAAATCGACGTACCACTTCGGGTAGTCGTTCGGTAAAATGGGGAATCGGTGGCACGTCAGTTCACTTCTACTGCAGCATCATACAAAAGGAGGCATAAACAGAGCTTGCATACTCGCTGCGTCCCGCCTCGGAAAAGCCGTCATTAGCAAATTGTATATACACACACACGCACAACGTGTGTAAAATATAGTTGGCGCCATTCGTTTCTATTTGGTAGCAATCAAGACGAAGCTAGTCTGTCAATGATTGATGCATGGAATACGAGCACCTTTCATGCCAATCGGCACAAATAGTAGGTGACTCACTTCTGTAGGAAGGCACCTGTTTTTCATGTCAAATTTTAGCGAAGGTTGGGGTCAGCTGTCTAAGGATTACTACACAGTCGTACTTAGACAGCTCTAGAGTATGTCTGTTTACGTCAGCAGCTTTGAAGTATCCGATCTTTAAGCAGAGTTCCGCTTCACTGAGATTATAACAAAATGGGCAATTGGGTATACGGCACATGCAGATGTACGATTAGGCCCAACTGTATTGCGGTTCAACATCTCTGCTAACCACCCATCCTCCTATGAGATCACGCTGACACAGACTTCCTGAGGCTGGTGGACTGCGTTGAGCGCTTACGACTATTGCTGGGTTCAGCAGCGGCCTCCATTTCTCAATCGTGCGGTACAGCTTTTGCTTGGGCTACCAAATGACATATCTCTGCAATTCACTATGAGTTGACTCCGCTGAAATATTTCTGCGGCATTCGAACGGCCCCATAGATGGAGCCAGGCCAGTTTGTTTCTCAGTCTCTGCTAGTGTCCGTACCAGACGGAATGAGGACCTGATCCGGAGGGGACCGCTGCTTAAAGTCCATCGGTATTAGGGAAACCAGTATCGGAACTACATCCATGTAAACAATTAGCATGTCATAAGTGCGCATAAAAGTAACAGGATGAAGCAGATGGGCCCCATACAGAACAGTCAGGTTTCGCCAGTGTGAATGCCACTACCAGGTTCTCAAGTCGAAGTGGGGTTAATCTGGAAGAAATCACCTCGAACTATTGGCTAAATAATGTACCAGCAAGACAGCAGAGCAAAGTTAGGGAGTCGCGTTTATTAAGGTCGGTGACTGCTTATCCAGTTAATGTGTCTTTCGTTTGATCGATCACCAGAGAGACCCTATCCTTCCTATAATTTTAGCATCAGGTTGCAGCAGTACGAAGCCCCACTGTAGTGAAGCGAGAGGCAGTGACCATATTTCTTTGCAAGTCACATCCGCCAAGTCGCGGTGATATTACCAAGGGAAAACCTACGGCGTCTCGAGACACTGCTGCATAGTCGTTTGCTGGAACGGGCTAAACCTGAAACACCCACCTATCACCACGAGGTTGTCTGGCGAGGTAATCCATTTTCCTAATTTACGTTAGGATGAGTGACCGTATTGATTGCAACGGCCTCGCAAACCCGTGGTAAACCTTTTTCACACCTTACGTGGAACCCAGCTAAACGAGTCCGGTGTGGCCACATCATGATGTTAAATATATTGTGACCATGCATTCAACTTGAGCTACTCGCTGAGGCAACGCCGCGCGCGTTGCATCTCGGTTGCAGCCATCTTTCTGGATCTTCCATCAAAACCTTGTGCACGAGCGCGGACTCATTTCCTCGTATAAAATTACCACTATTAGTCTTCCAACTGGCTGCTTGTTTATAGGCTCCGACCGATTGCCTGTAGGGTTAGAGTAGTTATGAGTTGTTGAATTATGCTCAGCATTTTAATTGGCGGCTGTAATCAAGTTAGCTCGTTGGACTATCGTTGAGGACTAAATATGTTGCAGTGGTTTTCGCACGTGCTTCGTATGCTGTCTTACTAAGAACGTTTTTGTTTCGGCGTGTGCAGGATCTGATGGGATTCGAATGCAGCTGTTTCTTACCTGGCAGCGGAAATAAAATCCCTGACCACTCGATGCACGCAGTTGATCAGTCTAACCATCCACACTAGGGTCCAGGCTATCCACATTGTGTTTAACACAATACCTCAAGCGGCACGGCTTGCAACCAACTCCTTCTAGCCATATATCCTACTACGAGTCTGGCGGTCTGTGGAGCAAGGCTCAGTTCAACATGAAGCAGTTAAAGGTGCAGGGGAGGTTTTTTCCATGTTACTCTATCTTCGCACGATAATGAATCGTTTGTACCGGCGCGCTGCTGGCCAGCCATTCGCGCCTTGGTCACAATTGCTTGCTTGGACTGTTCAGGTTTTATAGCAATTTCCTCCCTCCTGTCCTCATTCTCCATAAGTAGTTATTTTGATTATACTGAGTTGAAGCACCTGTGCGGAGAGATGATATACTGGTGTTGTTGTTGTGGTGGTGGTGGTGGTGGTGTTGGCGGTGCTAATGTTGATGCTGAAATTCGCAGCTTGCAGAGGCGTTAATACTTGCCAGTGTATGCTGAGAATGATGCACCATGTTTGTTCATTTCGTCTTCCATAAACTTTCATATTTTGTTGGGCTGCTTGCTCAAAATTTGCTTATCACAACTTTATTTCCTCTGTAGACACCCGCTCCCCAACCCCCTGGTCCTGTTTGCAAATGGACGCCAGAAGACGTGGTTGCGTTCGTTCAAAGTACTCCTGGATGCAGTGCGTATGCATCAGCTTTTCTCTCTAATGAGATAGATGGAGAGGCCTTACTCCTGTTAGCGAAGGACCAGTTTATCCAACCTCCAATCGGGATGAAAATTGGTCCGGCGCTGAAACTTGCTGCTCGTTTGGAATCAATTCGCCACTTAAACTAACGGACATTTGTGACGTCTTCAGGGGCCCGGTCCTGCGTTGTCACAGCAGTTGCATTTTTTGATTTGTTGCGTTTACGTGTATCTATTTTCTTGACCTGTATATAACCTTATTCCATTCTAACTACCCGACGTGGCATCTCTTCACTTTTCCATCCATAATGTTAAGATCCCACGGCCACTGTTGCAATTCCGTACCAGCACACGCAGGCCTCGTAAGCTCACAAAGCAGCACAACACAGGTCACGGGCTGAACACAGCTTCGGCTTCTGATCGATAGTCTCGACCCCAGCAAGTCAGAAGACAATACCTCCGAAAAAGATCCATTATGATGATAACTCATACGTCCCCATTGAAACGCTTGAAGGTATCTAAAGGTGAGGTTGACCACCCACAGTCCGGGTCAGAGGCAGGGACGGATTTGAGCGCGCAGTTTTAAAAATCAAGATGATGGCTAATAATAATTCCAAATTTTAATTAGGTCTTTTGTAATTCTTGGGAAATCTGACGTTTTCCCAAAACTTCTCTTCAGAAAGCTCGTGACTTAGACGTCGGTGATTCATCTACAAGGATCTTGCTGGGTGACGTCTCCGATCGGTACATCTGGGTTGTACTGGGATCCGATCCGGTAGTATACGTGGCACTTCTGTCAATGGGTTCGGGGGAGCCCAAGCGTGTCTAGCAGCATTTCGAACGCCAGTTCTTCTTCATGGGTAGCTGTGACATTGTGGTAGCGTGGACGGAGTTGGTTTTTATGCCGTAGCAAATCGTGTTGTCCAACCGTCATTTCCTACCTCACGGAACCACAGTCACCTACAAACACGATGAATAACTTTGGAACAATGAATTTATACGTCTTAAGAAGCGTTGCTTTCTTAGTCCCATTGGACAGTTGGTGGGGATATCGAAATCACAATAGTAGTAATAATGATAGTAAAACAGTTGGTACTTTAAGTATGAAAATAAGGACTTATATTTTGCTCCGCTGTAATCATGCAATCCGCTTGGATTTACAGCACCCGCAGTTAACTACAAATAATTCCATGGTAAACTCCAGGTGTAGGATGAATACGTAGTGCTAAGTGACAAAGTGTAAGTGAATGAGTGCATTATCCAACCGTCTTTTACTTACTGTTAGTGTCGGTGCAGAGACACCCGATTCTGGGAGAGCATTCCACGGGTGACAACCACGAACGGAAAATCAATTTCTGTGACACTCCAAACGGCTATACTGTACAGCGGGTTTCATTGAGTAACCTTTCAGGGTTGTATTGGTGCTGAGTCGCAGTAAAGGGCGGCGCACATTATGTGGGTCTCGCAGAATCAAGCATGCCATAATCAGGTCGCCTGGTAGTCTGCGATAGCTTCCGCCGAATACCCCCAGTCGTTGCAGCCTTTCCTGGTATGAAAGATTGCGCATTCTAGTTACGTTCTTAGATGCCCGACGTTGGGGCAGCTCCAGTGCAATAAGGTCGTGTTTCTAACTATGAATGCCAGGCTTGACATGAGGACGAACATACGCACTGAGCATTTGTCGAAATATGGAGCTGTTTATTTGTCCAAACGCCCATCGTAACAGCTCGACGTGTTGGTTTCCAGTCTTCGAGGCCTTTTCGGATTGCCTGGAGCAACCCGAGTCATCTTGAACTAGGACGCCCAAGGTTTAAACGGGTAAAAAATGCTAATGGTTAACAGGTCCCGTAGGATGGTTATGGTGAAACATCAAATCTAAAAACTGGTTAGCAAAGTTAAGATTACACCGGTGAACTCACTGAAGTATACGTAGTATAGACTGTAAATCCAAGGTAAATCCATAAGGAATGACGGCAAATGGGATGTTGGTAAAATCGTGTCTCCTTCTGGTGTACACATACAGGAGGTGAAAAAGTGGAACGAAATCTGGGATTTGACCGCCAGTGAAATCTCTTACAGACACTTGTGTTTATCCATGGGTAATGGGTCATGTAAGATGGTGCAGCGAAATAAGTGCACGGTCAACTCGGCTTTGAACTCTGCCAGCGTGGGAGCACATATGACAGATTCCGGTAGGGCATTCCACGTTCTGCAAACGCGTACGGAAAGAAATTCCGACGGCATTCCAAACGACTGTGCTGCTCTGCCAGCTTGAGATGGTGGCCTCTCAAATTGCTGTTGTGACTGAGCTCTAGCAAGTAGCGGCACGTGTGGTTGGGATCTCTCAAAATCTGGTAAGTCAAAATGAGGTCCCCGCGCAATCGCCGATACTGTCCGCTGAAGACCCCGAGCACTTGTAGCCTTCGTTCATACGGCAAATTATACAGACCCTTGACATTTTTGGTTGCCGGGCTTTGGGGTATCTCCAAGGCGGTGAGATCTCTCCTCAGCCATGGCTGCCAGACCTGTATTGCGTATTCCACATGTGGCCGTATGTATGAGCCGAGAAGTTGTGGAAAAATCGAAGGGTCGAATCGTCCGAATGCACGCTTCAGGAGGCCCACGTGTTGGATGCCCTCCTTGACGCCGTTTCAGCCTGATTCGAACATCCAAGGTCGGCCTGGACCAAAACTCCCAGATCCTTCTCGCCAGAAGACGTTTGAAGCTCCTGGTTGCCGAGTTTGTAGGAGTGCACCAACTTGTGCCGTAGGTGCAGCACTCTACATTTGTCCACATTGAATCGAAGTAGATTCTGGATTGACCACGCGTATACCCTATCCAGATCAGCTTGAAGTACTGTGATATCATCTGGTGTATTGATCCTTATCCACACCTTGATGTCATCGGCATAAAGAAGGCAGTTCGAGCTTATGAGGCGTGTGATATCGTTAATATACGTCAAAAATAATCACCGTGTTGGTACCGATCCCTGTGGTACTCCGCATTCAACTCGGATGGGATCTGACAGCGATTCACGCACTCGTACTTCCAGGCGCCGGTGTAGAAGAAAGCTTCTGATCCATCCTAGGAGATGATCACCAATATCAAAGGTCTGGAGTTTGAAGAGCAGAATGTTATGGTCTAACCGGTCGAACGCCTTTGAGAAGTCGAGAAAGACTACATCAACTACTGTGCCAGAGTCTACTGCTTCAGTCCAGCTGGATCGTGCTAGTAGTAGATTTGTAGTGCACGATCGATTTCGTCGGAAGCCATGCTGTTCCGGTGTGAGGTAGTTAAATTCCTGCTAGTAGGCTGTTGGGGCATCAGAAATAATTGCTTCCATGACCTTTGAAAGAACCGGTAGTACGATTATGTGACGGTAGTTGTCTGGATTGAAACGACTGTCTCCCTTGTGAATAGGATTAATCACCCCGTGTTTCCACATGTCTGTCACGTACGTTTCGTTGAAACAGTGTTGAAAGCATCGAGCCAAAGGCTCATCTAAACTTTCCTACTGCCGCTAGCGATTTCGTGTGTATCTTATCAACTCCAGGAGAGCCGTGCTTGTGCATATTCAACAGCTTCTTTTGTAAAACATATGTGAGTGAGTTTTGGGGTAAAACAACCATCTCCAGAGGATTGGATGGTCAGTGATCGCACTGAAATGTTGCAGCATATTTTAGGCGCAGGGTATTCGCCGCTTCCTTCGGTGTCCATGTGGATCCGTCCGCTGTTTGAAGAGGAGGAATAACCCGTTTCACCTTACGTAGATTATTGACGTGTTGATACAGGAGATTGTTATCTGAGGTCATGCACACTGCTAACTTCTGCTGGTATGCCATTCTATTCTAGCGAACAGGCTGAGTAAAATGGTTACGTTCGGTTGCGCCACAGTAGTTGTGTTTTCCAACTCTAGCTAACGTATATAAATATATATATATATATATATACACTCACATATGTTATATATATATATATATATATATATATATATATATATATATATAAATGAGCCTGGGGAAGGATGCTAACGGCCGAACCTACACTCTTGACGGCCAAACGCTATATCCCACACCCTCCGTGAAGGACCTAGGTGTACTCTCACGCTACGATTTGAAGTCCGCGGACAACACGAACAGGCTATATTGTAAAGGAATGCACATGCTTTGGGCGCTCAAACGTAGCTTCTGCACATGGTCTGAAGAGGTTGCCACTCGCCTGTTCTCTTCTATCATTAGACCAATGCTAGAGTACGGTTCGCCCGCCTACTTTCCGATTACCCGAGGCGAGGCACAAAAGATCGAACGGGTCCAACACGTTGCTACCAGGCTCATCCCGAGTTTACTTGGCTTTGGGTATGAAGACCGGTGCGAGAAACTAGTGCTCGACACTTTGTCCTACCGTCGGGTGCGAGTCGACCTCATTATGACCTACCGAATTCTACATCTTGGTCAGTTCCCCATGCTAAGGCCAATACTGCACTTACGAGGACCATGCAGCACACGCGGACACAAATACAAACTTGTCGTGCCGGATATGAAATGTGTTCCCCACCCACTGTGCTTCGAACGGAGAGTGGTAAACATTTGGAACAGTTTGCCCGAACAGGTGATTGAGGCAACATCTGTGCAACAGTTCAAAACGTTGTTAGATTTGTATTTTGTCTCTATGCGCTTCAGAGAACGACTGCACACTTACGATGACATATCACACTTGTGAATCCTGAAATATTGTAAGTCGAATATTTCAAATATTACATGAGAACGACAGTGATATTCACGGTTGACAATTTTATAACGTTTTTCGCCATATTTCGAAAGAGTTGTACAGAATCCATTTCTACTAGCTCTATAATACAGTATTCAGTATATATATATATATATATATATATATATATATATATATATATATATATATATATATATATATATATATATATATATATATATATATATATATATATATATATATACAGTGGATTCCGGTTAATAGGACCAGCCGCTTATTCGGGCCAAATTCTGAAGAACCAAAACGAATCCTATTACGCCAGCCTAATTTTAGCCGCTTATTAGGACCGGAATTCCGCTTAATCGGACCAGACGATAGATGGTGGCAGGTAACAGAGGTGTTAAAATCAAGTTCTGTGCCTA